TATATTCTTGCAACTAGTTGCTATAGAATATTATAGTTTTGTTCACCTAACAGATGTATGTATTATATTACCTAAAACTAAACGCCTATATCCATGGCCTATTTATATAAATGTTTAGGATGACGAGAAAAGTTGAAATCCTGTCTGTCTGTCCATCCGGCCGTCCGTGCAAGCGGTAACTTGGGTAAAAATTGAGATATCTCGATGAAACTTGGTATGTGGGTTTCTTAGTACACATAAAAATTCGAGTTCGTAGACGGCCGTAATCGGACCACTGCTATTAACCGGAAACCTATAAAGCGTCATAACCAAGCTCTAAATTAAGATACAAAACTGTAATTTGGCACAGGGGATCACAGTAGCAAAGGCAAATGTTATAACCCGCTCACTTCCCGTGTAACGATAATTTAAAAAACTAAAGCGCGATAAATCAATAACTAAATACGCCAGAGACATTAAATTTTACCCCTGAGCCAGGGTCATACTTGGATGATGGGTGCGGCGCCTCCTAGTTTTAGATGAAAACAAATATCTAGGGACCCGTGTTACCATCACGCCTACTTTCTATATAACATAATTTTAAATTCCATCTGATTCTTCCCTTTTGAGTGTACAAATCGTAAATCAAGTAATATAACGGGATAAACTATGCACGAATATTTAGATTTTGCTTAAATATTGTTCACTGTGTCAGATTTATATTTGAAATCCTTTCTGATAGTTGTGTCTGTGGTTGAAATGTGTTGCATCGGATTAGTACTTCCCTTAGCCCCCATATACCTGATATACATATTTTTGAACTTCCGCGTGACTTTACATGTACTGCATATATCGCCCAATCTCAGAGTTATCGTAATCGTGTTAATTTGTGTTTAGAATAAATAAAATCGGGTAAAAAATTTCCTTAGGAGCCAAATAACTAACCGAAGAGTAAGAAATGTTCGATGGTACCTTAACTTTTCCTTACTTATTAGATTTGCATATACTGTGGCCAAAAAATAGGGAGACATTTGAATTTAAACTGCGCGCGTCGAAGGATTTGGATAATTATTATTTTTAGGTTGGTAGTACTGCCAGTCACATTTATGTCAAATTTCACATGTCAAAATATTTATTAGTGTTTGAGATACATGTCGTTTTGTGAGCTGTTAAAAGTGAGTTTTTCGATTTTTGCGAATTGATGTCGAAATTTGTTGAGCAAAGAATTTGCATTAAATGATCATTTCGCCAAAAACTCAACCCATATCGTTCCGCAACCACCGTTTGGAAGAATAAATAAAGAATTTTCAAAATAAATATAATGTCACCTTATTTTTTGGGCACAGTAAGGCCCAAAACATCAAACGGAAGATCGAAATCCAAGCAATTTTATGTATGGTATATGCATACACTCACTCATACACTGACCGAAATATTTGTCATAATCTTTGAAACTAAAAGTGAAAATAATTACATGTGTTACTATTATATTATGAGTTAATAGTTGAAAAGGTTAACCCAAATTTATTTATTGTTTTCCAACTACATGCAGTTAAAAGGCCAAGGTTTTGTCAAGGTTTCTCCTAACGGTTGTACGTATCACCTATAACTAATCGAGATAGATTTAGAGTTACATATAAATGTATGCGTAAATGATCAGGGTGACAAGAAAAGTTGAAATCGAGGTGGCTGTCCGTCCGCCCATAAAAGTATGTTGATAAAAATTGGTATGCTGGCTTCTAAGTAAAAAAATAGATGAGCGTAATCGAAGCATCATCACGCCCACAAATCGCCATTAACCGAAAAAAATTTAAATTTCCATAACTAAGCACTTAATTTAGATGTGATATATCTTATTTCGCACAGGAGATCGTAGTAGCTAGGAATACCTGTGGGCAAATTTGAAAAGTCAAATTTCAAATTTTGAAAAAGTCCGCTAATATGTTTAATGTACATATCTCCTAACCACTAAAACTTTAATAGAGAAATCCGCCCACCACAAATATTCTAAGAACTTCTATCGATATTGTGCAAATAGATGAAACCGGCTGAAAACCCCGTTCACTGCCCATGTAACATTACTGTTCAAAACTAATAAAAGCGCGAAAAATTAATAACTAAATGCGCCATAAACGTAAATACTTGTCGCCGGGATATTATAATATTCCATAGCTTTATAGGGGCCGAGGTAAAAATTGGACGATAGGTGTGGCACCGCCCACTTTTTGATAAAATCCCATTCGGGACTTACAGATTTTGGCAAAATTTAGTATGTGATATTCTTTTTATACTCGTATGCCTATGAATATAATAATACTAATTTTAGTATCTCTTTGATTCGTTCAGTTCCTAGTAGATAAATCAAGAAGCAGTTAATATAACAGGTTAAAACTATGTACTATTAATGTCTTGTGCCACCAAATGTCCAAAAATTGTCCAAATCCAACAAAAACAGTTCACGCCCCTACGTACCGAATATTAGGATCCCGGTACCTATATTGGACTTTTGATCGAAAATTTCGGTCAATGTGTGATATATATAACTGAAATTAAGGAATAATCCTTCTCTTTTAATAGTTTGTTTGTGTGTCAAAAATGGGTTGAATCGGATAAATTCTCCTTTTAGCTCCCATATACTTGATATACAAATTTGAACTTCAGGGTGACTTTGTACCCCATATATCGAACAGTATGTGATTTATCTCAATGAGAATGAGACAGCGTATTTTACTCATAACATTGTATCTTTGCGCTCAAAATAGGTAAACTTATTTCGAAAATTTGACTTAACCCCCATACAACTAATATCACGATTTTCGACCATCCGGCTGACTCTGCTCTATATGATTAGTATTTTTGTGTGTGACATATTCCTAGTATGTGGTATTGAGAAAAATAGATAAAATCTTCTCGGTAATACCTCAACTGCTATATATGTATGTACTAACTAATAAACCTTATGTGTCTGTCAGTAAAGGAGTTATACATAGTATATGTATATATTAAATTGCTTGGATTTCCATTCCCAGGTTGACATTTTTCACCATAAAGTATTTCGAAGTATTTGACTCTTGTAAGTTAAAAGCGTATAAAAAGTTCGGTTGCACCCGATCTTAGCCTTCCTTACTTGTGTATTTTAATTTATATAAAAATTATCAAATTCGGTATTATCTCTTCTCTATGGTACGAAATAAATATAGTCATGACAAGTTTATCAACTACGCTTTCATATACTATGCAACAATATTATTCACATCCCTGCACAGAGTGCAGTTTCGGAAATAACTTTGTAATAACTTACAACATTTATAAAAGTTAAATTTATTGCATTTTATTTACTTTCCTAAAGTTTGTTACCAAAACATAGAACTATGTATATGTATGTCTAAGAATCAGTTTTTAAAAAATATGAATCAAATACTTATTTTAAATATAAATACTGTCCAAATTATACTTATTTTTGTACAAATCAATCGGTTTAGATAAACTTGACAAACACACGAAAGAATTACCGCGCTATAAAGTCATGGATAATATGATACGAGACTTTCATTGGCTCTCTTTTTCTCTCAAACGCGTTCCCTGATTATTTGACAGCAATGGAGATCAGGGAATTTCCGACAGTTGATTTCAGAAATGGCGGGATGCCAGAAGTAAACCGCTATAATTACCTGACGAAATTAGTGTGAAATGAAATTTCATTGAACTGTGCGAACATGTTTTGGCAAAATAAATGTTTATGTAAATTAATTAATGATTTTGCATTTTAACATTTATATATGTGCATTTTCAAATTGTTTAATTTAGTGTTTTGTATAATTTATTAAATACCCAATCTAACATTTTCAGCAGTGGCATTATTGGCAAATGTTATAAAATATGCGAATCAAAGAGTCTCGTATCATATTATCCATGGTAAAGTCGGAGTCACGAGTTACACTGAATAGAAACAAGCGAGAGCGCCGGTTTAACACACTTAACGCAGTATGCCTCCCCCGCCGCCCCGGATACGAACTCAATGTCATAACAGCGAGCTGACTATATAAGCGAAATATTCACACCACATTTTGTTTCTAAGATTAATAGTTTTTTAATTATTGAAGTACGATGGTATAGACCTTTTTGTTACGATCCACTTTTTAAACCTGGCACCCGTATGTTCCGGCGTGATTTTAAAGACGTTTCACGTCAAGAAGTGTGTTTTATATATAACAGTGTTTTTTGTGGCTAAAACAAGTAAAATAGGGTGAAAACTTGACCTAGCCCCTATATAACCAATATCAGAATTTTGGAACATCCAGCTAAGTCAGCAAAGTGATTGGTGATTGTATTTAAGGTACCTAAATAAAACCCAGGGACTATTTCTTTAGTATGTGATATGATAGTAGTTACTAGATAAAATTGGGTCGATACAACCCCAAAAATCCATTGCACAGTTGGTGGCTCTCACAAGAAGACATAGTACAAATAATTGTAAACAGAAAAGAACAAATAATATTCTGCGGAAATATGTTGATGCACTTCAGCTTCACCATGAACTAACTTTAAGTAAATAAGAATTAAATGTATAAATACTAATTAGTTGAAAGTCTATATTTGATTTAAATAAAAATATGTAAATTTTGTACCACTTCATAATGTCAAATAACCATGATTATTTTTTTGATTATTTGCGCGTTGGCCTCATCGAATATTGCATTCTATGGAACGATGAGTTGTATGAGATATAAGACGACATTGACATAGTTCAGCGAATTAAAAGACAACGGCTCTGAAAGCATTCCACGCAGTACCCGCCGGGGATATAGAGGAAGAGGAAGACCTCCACTGCGTTGGAAGGATCAAGTGGAGAAGGACCTGGCGAAAATAATAGACGACTGGCGCGCTCTTGTTAACACGGCTATAATTTCTCATTAATGAAATTTCTGAATAAAAAGTAATCAAATAAAAAACTATTTTACTTACCATAATATTGTTCCATCAAATAATATATTATTTTAAATAAATAGGAGAGATTTCGTATGGTATGCTATCAAGTATGGATAAAATCGGTAATATATTCCCAAAATCGTCCAACCGGTAGGTACCACATAATGCATATTTTAATACTATTTGCCATAGAATATAATAGTATTGTTTACCTACGGGGCGAATTGTAATCCGGGGACTGTTAATGTTAACTTAAGCAAAAATTGGCAAACAAGGAGAGTTGGTAATGTGGATGGGCGTAATTGAACAACTGCCACGTCCACAAAACGCCATTAATCAAAAACCTATAAAATGTCATAACTAGGCTRTGCCCCCACAGACACTTGTGAACAAAACATTTATTTTAAATAGGAGTGTCTCCGCCCTTTAAATGGTTAAATCTACAGATCTTCCAAACCAAGTTTATACAACAGGATATGCGTCTGGTCGGTCCCCTTACTAATGAACTGCTAATTTTCAGAATTGGAAATTTTTCGTGGTTTGACCCTTACTTAGTATAACGATCAATCATTGCAGTTTTCCGTCCCCAGTAGATTGATAACTAAGCAATGCAACTCGTAACTCTTCGTGGCTTTTCAAATAGGATACGCCGTTTCATGTCCATTAATGACTTATTGCTTGGCTTTATTTGCTTTGTTAGACTGCTTCACTGCAATAGTATGTATGTGGCAGTCAGATGATTGATGGGGAGAACATTTTATTGAATGCAACTTGCTGGTCGAAAAATTGCATTTTTGTGGCTTAAAAGCAAACCAGTAATGATTATCTCCAGTGGCCTATCTAACTGTATTGATAAGAATAAGTTTTTTAGATAGTAGCAAAATTAACTAACAAAGAATTACATTGCCAATTAAAATAAATATAAAGTTTGTGTTAAAGGAAAATTTCATTACAATTTTTTAATTGGAATATCTAAATCTTATAATAAACCAAAATTTCACCATTTCTTTAATTATTCGGCTTTAATAAAAACTTGGAGACGCCGTTTAAAATATTCGAAAGTTTTTAAAAATATTTTACTCGGTATTAATTGACTTTAAATACATTTTAAATACTCACTCAGATAAAAGTGAGCCTCATCGGAGAAGATGATTTTCGTAAAAACCGTTATCGTTTCAATTTGCAACCGCAACCCCTTTCCCAAAATCCAGGTTGTGGTTTGAGATAATCCCAAGTCTTGAGAACGCATCAACAAATTACGATATTCAGCAACACTGGCCTAAACGGTAGCAATAATTTCATTACTTGCGAACATTTATTTGGGTAATAAAATTTAGTAATTTGTAAACGTTGTTCTTGCGTATATATTTCCATGATACAATCGTAAATATTGCTACATACAAAGAAAAATATTACAGATCATGACATATTAAAAAAAAGCCGAAATAACCCTTAGATTTCATATCATTTTATAGGTTTCCGCTTAAAGTACCATACAGGGCACACGTGTGTATTCGATCTGTATGAAATCGTTTCGCAAATACGGGCCATCATTTGGCGTTGATTCTTTAAACAGTGAATATGTGCGACAAGCAAGCGGAAAATTGTTCGCCTGCGATCTTTCCTAGATGGCGATACGAGTAAAAAATCAAACAGTTTCGCCAACATGGATTTGTATGCGCACAAGCCCATTCACGAGTAAATCGCAATACACATACCGACTGTGGCCGTGTATGGCCATTTTGTTGGTGCGACAATGCCCTCGATTCGTTTTAGATGATACATTATACCATAAGGTGGACAAAACTATGATAGTCTGTAGCAACATGTTGCAAGAGTATGAAAACAGCGAGACTAAACCGCAGAAAATTCGAAACAAAATAGTTCATTAAATTTTGCGCAGGATTATTTATGCCAATAACTCTTTTGTTGTTCTATATGTGTATGCCATTATATTATTTTGCGTGTATTGTTTCATTTTGCGAGCTTGCGTTGGACAAAATGACGTCTTAACTAGTTCAGCATTTCCGAAAATAAGTAAGAAATTGAAATCAAGTAAGCGTATAAGTGCTCTAATTAACTTCATTATTTTATTACAGTGAGCAAAAGCAAATTTAAGTGAAATTAACTTATAATTAAATTCCCATCTATGTGCTCCTTAAAGAAGAAGTTGAAAGTGGGAAGTAATTTTTTTCATTTTAATTAAACATAATTGATCAATGATTCTATCACTCGTCTTGAATGTACTCATGTGTAGTTAATGGACCTTATAATTTCGTTATTATGTAGTCTCAACTTTCACATATGAAGTTCAAAGATAATTATGTTAGTAGACACTTTAACAAAATGAAAAGTATTGAAAAATTTATAACTGAAAATATCTAAATTACAAATTCTTTCTGCATGTGTATAAATTCATTGTATATTTAGTTAGCTAATTTTAACTATTGCATTAAACTCAAAATTTTCCTACATGCTTTACTCATATGTGCATTCAGTGCAATATTATCCATAATGAATATCGGAAAAAGCTTTTAATTAAATAAGGTAAACTAATAAAGATTGCTTACATAAACATTAAAATGCACTCAATAAATTAATATTTATAAATTCGTTAAAGCAAATATAAATAATAAATAACTAGTGTTGCTGGCAAGTGAAAAAAAGTGCAAATTGAATAATTCAAATGAGCTTTCATGAATATTAAATTATACGTTTTGGGATGAGTTGAATAAAAGAAGTTTAAAATTATTAAAACCACAAATATCTTTGAACTTGATTTCTTTGATCTCTAATATAATTGTTTGAAGTAATTCCCTTTTCTAAACATTTCCTACTATTAGCTTCTGGGTATTTAACCTTATCACTATTGTTACATTATAAACCATTTCATCAAATTTAGTCCAAAATAACAAACAAAAAAGAAACAAATCTTCATATTTTGTAATACAAATCTTTACTAGTGTCTTTAAAATACATATTTAGGTTACTGAGCATGCCAACGATCCAATTTTCTCTAAACAACATTTTTCGAAGACAAATGACCCTATCATCGCGTAATTTTTTTCTGCTTATTCTGTATATAATTATCACCAAAAATTGAATTTTGGCAGGCTAAAAACAACCAAAACTTTGAGTAAAACTCAATTTCTTTTAGGAACCGTCACTTTTAAAAGTTTTGGAAAATTTAATTTTCAGGTTTCAATCACGGTGATGGTCAGAATCACCACAACAGCAGAGAACCGTTTTTTTTTTTTCATTCCAACAACTGTCGGGTCTACGTAACCGGCACGGACCCGGATTATTTATCCGGTCAAGGACTGTCAATGAATGTCAACTCGGCAGAATTCTGCCGCTACAACAAAAATAACGGAACCTATTTTTGAGCGCCGTCGAAAATCTCGTTTAACTCAAGAAATATTAATTATTTTTCAAATAATATTTTTATGTATTTTTGAAACATATACAAACATATCCTAACAATTTCAATCGAAACAGCAGGTTTTTTTTTTTAACTTCAAAAATTCTGCGAAAATATGTCGATGTTGATGAGAGATGTTGAGATGTTGAGACTGGCTATTTCTTTGATGGCAGCACGACGGTTTTCAGTAACTGTTTCTGGTACTTTATCGATGTTATTGACATCAGGTAGGTACGAAGAATTTCTGTCAGACAACGCACCTAGGCCTTTAGGGGTCTCATTGTGGTACATCACCCATTGTCTCTCCTCTGAACCACTCCGTGTCTGATTAAGCTTATCAGTATACGTAATTATATATTCTCTATTTGCGATTATTTCTCTATACAGAGCCTTGTATTCGCATAGAAGATGTTTTACTGTTTCCTTTTCTTCTGTTTCCTTTTCTTCTACGTTCTGTCAGCTTCTACAACAGTCATTGTATGACGCACCTCCTCCGCTGGCATGTTTTCTAATTTAAACAATGGTACATCCGTATCCCTACTAGATTTCTTATATCATTCCTTTAGAATTTTCATAATCGGCATATGCGGCCCCTGTTCCTTTCATGCTACATTTGCCTGCTTGTAGCGCAAACCAGGCTCAACCGCTAAATGTTGTGTATAACATGGTTGTCGATTAAATATCTACAGATGGCCAGAGGCATGTAAATAACCTCTTTTTAGGAGCCTAATTTTAGGGCTATGCCTGTTCTGGCTAGTTTATCTGATTCAAAGTTATCAAGGATATTACTATGGTCTGGAACCATAGGTTCCATTTTCCATTTCAGGTTTATCGTTTAATATGATGTTAGATCCACTAAAAGATTATTATTCAATTTTCCAATAACATTAACGAAAACCGAGATGATATCAGTCATTTCAACGCCGTCTATCTAACCCCCTTTTCCACTCTTCATAGGAGTTCGAAAATCTGTGGTAGTGGATAGAAACGGGAACTTACTAAGTATCATAGAATGCCCACATTGCAGACAATTTCTTGGGAGGATTTTCTCAGTCTACGAACTGACTTCAATGCCAGTAGCTTACAGAAAAGTCTGCTGACAGCAATTTTAAAATGACGTTTAGTGCCTAACTTGGCGTTGTTCTAAGTGCTTCACTGATGATCTTTGTATTTCTGTTCCATTATTGGCTACAATATACCACATACCTTAAATCATAATCGGTATAACAACTACTGTGTAGAGCCAACAAAGTAGGTAGCTTGCCTTATTTCCGATTGCTAGCCTGTTACCATTTGACAATATCAGCATGACTGAAGTACTGCGTTGAGTAGTAAACAATACCAGCTTTGTCTTGCTAGCAGTTAAGTTGGGCCGCACGATACGGCCCAACGGTGTAGGTCATTTAATACTGTTAAGCGAGGGTAATCGCAATTTACCTCTAACCGAAACTGCCACATCATTACTGTACGCCACAACTTGTACCCCCTTCTCTACCTCATCTACCAATAGCTGATTCGTTGTTAAGATCCAGAGAAGCGGATATAAGCGGATGGACAGATCTGCATATCATTGAAGTCCCCAGCGTTGAAATTGACCTGCTCGTGGCATATAATAATACCCAACGATTATCCTTCTCCCGCCCAACCGACGCGCGGGGCGCAATCCGCGAACGAGCGGAATTAGCCGAGTCATAAAAGGCAAGAGAGTTTCAAGCGTTGCGATCTTAAG